GCTGATTATGATCATTTCTCTGGTGGAAATCAAGAAGATGGGGGTCTGACTGATTAGCTCTGGGGCTGTTTGGCTGATTGGCTGCTTTGATAAAGCAGGTGACATGTGAACTAAGCCAGGACGGGTGAGAGCTGGAGAAGAGCATCCCAGCTTCTTTCATGGTGAGAGCGCTGAGTCAGCAAGGGGTTTGGTTTTCTGGAAGATGACTTCCTGGTGGAGCCCAGAAGTGCCTTGAGGGAAGGGAGGGTGAGCCAGTGGAGGCAGACAGAGGTTACACCGCACACAGCATTGTGGGTCCCAGGGAGAAGACTTTGTGGAAAAGAATGAGATATAACTAAAATATTTTAAACAGGAGAGTGATGTAACCAATTTATAGTGTTTAAACAATAAATTCTTTTCTAAAGCTGAGATTCTGACTCTGATATGACAGGGTCCTAACTAGGTCTTATTGCACATACATATAAAACAATTATGTACCACACCTTTTGGTATTTGTTCTATTTAGCACTAACATCGTACCTAGAGGAGGAGGGCATCAAATTGTAAATTTCAGCAGTAGCTGGGGAAAAAACGATCCATTCTTGTGATTTATCCTGAACTGGCCCTCATCAACACATCTTTTCTGTAGATATATCCATTCTGCATTCTGCTCTGCTCTGGTCCTCTATGCCTGCTAATCCTATCCCACCCCCCCATCACTTCCATCAGATCAGCAATTCCATCACTGACAATTGATTGGGCTCTTTCTTCTGGTCCCAACTCATTATTGTGCCTCATAGTGGAGGGCCTGTCTCTCTCCTGTCACAATGGACTGTCCTTGTGTGCCAGCACCTTGGCCTGAACTCAAGACCATTTTCTCCCTTACAGTCTGTGACACTATAGTCTCCTTGAGAACAGGGATTATAGCTGGTTCCCTACTATATCTCAGTATTCACCAGTTTGGCACGGTCAATTGTTAAATCTTACAAAAACGCTATTGCATGAATGGATACCCTGACCTTGGAGGCACCCTGCGTAGACCAGAGATCCTCCTGGACACTGACTCTCCTCTCTGCATTCAACCTGATCATCCTTCCAATTCCTCTGCTGTGAAACATGCCGGCTTTGTGCCAGTGAGACTCTCCTAACTATTTTAACTGGAGTTGGAATTGAGCTTTTTTTTTTTTTTTCCTTAATCAGGCAAGGCACAAGCTTAAGATTGTTTTACTGAATTGCGGCTGAGTCTTAATCGTGATAACTCTGAAAAAGCTGGTCTGCAGGTGCTCTGTATCATTTCCAGAATAATAACAACAGTTCACATTCATCGTTCACTACTACTTGCCAGGCACCATACTAAGTCTCCTTTAATCCTCCCTGCCGCCCTACATGGAAAATATTATTATCCCCATTTCACAGATGAGGAGATTGTGTCATAGAGTTATTTGCCCAGGGTCACACAGCTAACAAGTAGATCTGAGATTTTCAATATTCTTCTAAATATGAAATTTGTACTCTTAACAACCAGGGAAGAAATTATAAAATAAAATTCATAATAGCACATCCATATTAGCATAAAGAAATGCATAACTTAATTGGTGTGCTATTGAAAAATGGGTGTTATTACAGAACTCTCTGTTGTATAATTGGATAGATTCACTTTCTTTGTCACACATTTTCCTCTTCACTTCCAAAGAAATTTTGTCTATTCATAACCTTTACTAGCATATCAGAGCATATTTAAGATTTTTTGTAATTTTAAAGCATTTTATTTTAACAGAAGAACCCAGGAAACCTAGGAAAGCTTAGAAAATCTCCCATATCTTATTATATTTTAAAGGACTCAAATAAGAAGCATGAAAAAAACCCAAGAGTTTTCATACACAACTGAAATGGATACAAGATCAAAACCATTCAGAGTTTTAAAATCTGCTCTACCTATAGAAGGTTTCAGCAACCAAAATAAACTCATCTTCCACAGTCCTTTGAGTGACAGCTCTAAAATGTCCAAAACACAAAATTCTCATTTTTAACTTGACATCAAAGCACACGTTCAGATATTTTTCTGATTTAAGAAGAAACTGCTTCTAAAAATGCCTGATGCTCCTGATGTTATTTAAAACATGTATAAAATACACAGATACCGGTCTATCTGGAAAACTACAGAATTACCACCCAGGGCACTAGCCTGGTTAAAGGCAAAACTCCAGATGGAAGTTGTTTCTTATTGAAAAAGAAGAAAACTTTTCTTCAGTAAGATAGTTATCTAAAAAATCATGGTTCGAGCATTTATACTCCCTGTCCTGAGTAGATTGTGGAATATTACACAATGCATTTAAGACATACAGAGAATCAGGGAAAGTACTAGCAAATTACAAATAACATTTAAGAGAATAAATGTTATTTATTATTATTTATTATAGTATAAGCCCATCTTAACTAGGCAAAATAATTTCCCAGCTTGGAGAAATTATAAATTCAACTAAGAATCGACCTTGTGAATAGCTTGGTTTATAAGTCATGGATTTAAAAACAACTGGACTGATAGGATATTATTTATTACGTGTTTATCTTATCCACCTTTTTGGTTAGGAGGTTCTTTTAGGGAACATAAGAAGCAGGAAAGTCTCAACATGGATCTTACTTTGGAAACTCTTAGCCTTTGCACCTTTGGGCAAGCCACTTAGTTTCTGGGTCTCAGTTACCCTGTCTGTACACTAGGGGGTAACAATACTCACGTTTCCACCACCCCACACAGATGCAATGTGTTGGGGAAGGGCATAGACTTTGGAGAGGCACAAATGCCTCTATGCCTAGATCTGCACATGTGAGGTCTGGGATAAGTTCCTTATCTACCCGAGCCTCAGTTTCCTCACTTATAAACTTACAATATCACACCTAGGAAGATTCCATTAGGATTAGAGAAGATACATGTAATCACTTGGCACTTAATAAGCTTTCAGTAAATGGTGGCTATTGATGCCTATGGCCCATTTTGTAAACTTCAGTATATTTGTAAGGTATTATTATATGACCGGTTTCTTCAGAAATCACGTAGTTTCTAACTATAACATTTCTCCCATGGTTTATATATATGAATACATTTTCTTATATGGATTGGAGCCTTGTTGCAATACTTTCCTCATGAAATTTGTTATGAGACTATGAAATTAGATCATAAAAATATGAAAAATAAGATCTCTGACTCTTACTCCTTTGCTGTGTTCTAATGTGTAGTCTGCAATGAGTTTTCAGTCTATTTATTCATCTTTTTATCATTCATTCAACAAACACCTACCAAGGGCTTAGAAAATCTATACTGCAGGAGAAAATAGCCTCTATATTTTATCAAGATGGTTTCATGAAATATTATAAGTTATGATAAATTATTATAGTAATATCAAAAGCTTAGAAAATATTACAGTTCATGTAACTTATAATGGAAATTAAGTATAAGTTTTGACAGGGGCACCTGGGCGGCTTAGTCAGTTAAGCATCCAACTTTGACTCAGGTTATGATCTCACAGTTCATGTGTTCGAGCTCAGCATTGGGCTCTGTGTTGACAGCTCACAGCCTGGAGCCTGCTTCGGATTCTGTATCTCCTCTCTCTGCCCCTCCCCTGTTCACGTTCTGTCTCTCACTCAAAAATAAATAAGCATTAAAAAAAAAAGAAGAAGAAGTTTTGACAATGTTACATATTCTCTAGAAAATAATTACATGCAAATTCTTTTCACAAGAGTTACTATATAAATTAATTCAAAATGTATAAGACAATAATCCAAGGAAGGGGATTTAGAAATGGAAACAACTTTAAAAAGTATCATGTTTGTGACTCAGTATTGAATTCTCTTTCAGAGTAGATTCTTAAGGGCTTTATATCTAGAATGATTTAAAAATAGGCCACAATTAGACACAATTAAGAAATTGTTCTGCTTTTACTTTATTTTCCATAACAATCATAAGCCATGTCTATTTATACTTACGGAAGACAACTGAATTTTATAATATATATATGTATATATTTCTGTAATGTTCTAAGTCAATCATCATAAACATAATTCATTTTAACAGTGATTGAGGTGTTCCCAATGTGTGGCAATGGCAAACTGGATGATGAAAGTACCAGTTTGGCAGGGATTGGCAAACTACTACTTGTGGACCAAATCCAGCCTAATCCCTGTTTTTGTAAATAAAGTTTTATTGGAACACAGCCTGGTCCATTTGTGTTCATGTAACGTAGGGTTGCTCATGTGACATACTGGCATGGTTGAGTAGTTTTGAAAGAAATGGCAGGGTCTACAAAGCCTAAAATATTTTCTATGCAATCTTTTACAGAGAGGGTTTGTAAACTCCTGCCTTATAGTAAAGATATTAAAGAATTTATGTGCCATTTTGAGTACTGACACAAAAAATAAGAAGGAATTTTAGAAGAGTTATTTACCTGTATATTTAGCTCATTGCGTTTGTGCCCAATGCTTAGCGGACACACCAAAGGTAGGACCCATGCTACACACTTAAAAATTTTTTTATTAAGTTTATTTATTTTGAAAGAGAGACAGAGAGAGCAAACGGGGGAGGGGCAGAGAGAGAGGGAGAAAGAGAATCCCAAGCAGGCTCCATACCGTCAGTGCAGAGCCCGACGCAGGGCTTGAACCCACGAACCAGTGAGATCACGACCTGAGCCAAAATCAAGAGTCAGATGCTTAACCGACTGAGCTACCCAGGCACCCCTACACATTTGAGCAGGCAAATTTTTCACAAGCAGTCCTTACTGGGCTAAAAGGCCATGCTGCTCCCTACTGAGGTAACAAAAACTCCAAGTGTTATCCCAAGCCCCGGAGCAAATGCCCACCAGAATTGCATAATTATCCTTTCTTTTAGGAGCTGGGGATTTTAATTTGTGTCTAATTTTTGCTGTTGCTGGAAATAAGGTGACCTTCTATATAGTTCTGTAGACATCACAGCTTATTTAATTGAAAATGGCCATTATAATTAAAATAGGGGAAAAGGGTTGATGTGTTACCTGTATGTTGCTCTTCAATCCAGACTTGCAAATACATGAACAGGAGTAGCCCCGCTACCCCAAATATCAGCACCGAGAGGAAGACTTGTTTGGGGTTCATGACCATTTCAGATGGCTGCATTTCTCCTCATTTCTGAAGACCACATGATTTGTTTTTCGATAGAGTTTTGATCCTTTCTTGTTCTATTAGGTGCTCATTCCATGAAGTAACCTAGAATTATTAAAAATCCACATTGTACCTTACTGATGACATATCTTCCCAAACACAGCATAAGTATGCAGCATGTCAGTGACGGTGAGGGCTCACGTGAACCATAACACTCAGAAGACAGAAGAGATAGTAGGAGCGTGTCCCTAAAAATGGCAATTTTCTATAATAAAGCTTTATTGTAGCTAAAGAATCTAAGGAATTCACCGTATCCTACAGTTAATAAGTAACACTTTCACATTTAATTAGGGGCAGTATAGACAGGCTTAAGCCACCCTCTATTGTAGAGTAAAGCAGGTTCCAGTGACCTTAAGATGACTGTGAGGGGAAAGAAGACCTATCAGGATAGACTGTTGAAGGAGTTTTGAAAAACACGTTCATAGAAAAAAAGGGGAAAAATCACTTCATGTCTGAAAAATACATAAAGTTCAAAAATGGAGGGTTCAATCTATCATTTCCCTTTCATGTAAAAGTAATAGATTTCTCCAACTGAAAGGGTACATTAAAAATCCCTCAAACGCCTAAAAGGATAAATATTAAAAGGTCAAAGTTAAAAGGCTTCTCGCACAATAACACGGAGTACAGATGTGTACCTCAGATTACAGAAATCCACCTCCACAATGAAAAGTTACTTTATTTACAGAAATGTTGAAATGACTTTGTTTTACAACAATCTCATTTAGTGTAATCTTAACATTTTACTTTTTGTAAGTTGCATCCACGTTTGAGAATCTAACGAAAATGCAGACTCTCCTTTTGGACAAATACAAACACACATACGCTCTTGCATCAATATCGGGATGCTTAGGTACTCTCACCGAAAGTCAAGGTAAGAAGGTCTGCTGCCCATGAACTGCCACGCAAATATGCAGCAGCCTGCCTGGTGAGTTCCACAGTCCAGCTAATGAGCTCAAGGTCACGGCTTTGTATCTAGCACTGGCCAAAGACCATGGCCCTTTTCCTTGGCTACAGACCACACCCCCTCTTTGGATGAGCTGAATGTTTCTTTATTGTGAGGACATCACACACACTGCTGTGTCTAAAAGTTCTCTCTCTTTTTTCTCCAAGTATGCCTCAAAAACTCCTGGGAGAATATCGATTTGGCCTTTTCGAAGAGGTGTTTGGTGAGATGCAAGGTAAAAGTTAAAAGCCTGCTGTGGAAAATTGTTGGCTGGTTAAAAGATAATATTGAGCTGTTCTTGGCAAAACCAGTTTTCACATAAATGGTGGGCTTCAAAGGTAACCTATGAGATCTGTATTATAAGGAAATGTGGTAGAGTGCTCCCCTGATTAGAAAAAAGAAATCCAACAAATAGTTAAAAATGTTTATGCAGAACAACAACAAAAAGTTGTTTTATAAATACATTTTCTCTTTATATTTTATTTTATTTTAACGTTTATTTATTTTAGAGACAGAGAGAGACAGAGCATGAACTGGGGAGGGTCAGAGAGAGAGAGGGAGACACAGAATCGGAAACAGGCTCCAGGCTCTGAGCTGTCAGCACAGAGCCCGACGCGGGGCTCTAACTCATGAATCGTGAGATCATGACCTGAGCCGAAGTCGGACACTTAACCGACTGAGCCACCCAGGCGCCCCTCTTTATATTTTAATTATTACCCAGAAGGGGCCAGAGTAAGAGCGCTGGTTGCCAGCATTACCTGAGGAGCTTTCTAGAATCCACTGGTCTTGAATCCCCTGAGGAAGGGGCAACTACTAATATTTTCATGAGGGCTCTTGAGTATTTCAAGCACTTTCTTGATTTTGATAGTAGGGTAAGCTTTTAAATACGTAGAACTGAGAGTATCATCATACAGCTATATATGACGGGTGGTACCTCGCTCTTATATAGGTTCTAAACTAAAATCTTACGGGCTTTCCAAACATGCAACAAAGAACAGTTCCCGAGGGAGATTTGCAATTTGAGGTGTTCCAAGACTGAATCCCTCAAGGAAAGCAACCAAGAGAAGCCAGCTTTCTCTTGTCTTGATGCTGCAGTTAAACAATGAACACACATAATTCCTGGGTGCATGAGAAGAGTCGGGTAGGAGGAAACCAGTTAAACAAAATCTAGTACTAACCGAGAAATAGCTGTTTACAAGAAGAAAGAGACTTTTACAATCTGTCTACATAATTAAAACTTATCTCAGAAGAAAGAGGATAGACGAAAACGCATAAATCAGAACAGAGCCACGAACCTGTGGGAATAGTAGATGAGAAAGCCAAAAGAAGTAGTCCTTGAGGGTTTGCAGAGGAAAATTATTACCTACGATGCTGGAAAGAGATGAAGAATTTGCCCTTCCTTTCTTCGGGAGATGTTGCTCTACGCTGACATACCCTCCTGGGTAAGAAGTCAGGAGAAAACCCATAATTGCTATTATGGCAGATGTGAGTAGGATTGAGTGATTAAAGCCACAAGGCAGAAAGGCAATCTGGTGTAAAACGAAGAGATACGTTTGATTTTCTCCCATCTCAGTCCATTAACCCAACGTTGGCATTAGGAAATGGCTCTCATTAAACAAAGGTGAGGCGGGAGGAGCAGCAGTATTGCTTTAAGCAAACCTGAAGGTCAGTTGTGATGGGAAAACACACCTATTTGGAGATCATACATCTACCTCTATGCCTGCAGGAAAAGTGCAGACTACTGGAGATTGAAATTACTTGGAATAATGCTATTTTATGTACAAGCGTTATACAACATTTCCACGGTCAAAGGCTTCCTGTATTTCATACAACTCCTTCCTCTCCCCAGTCATATAAACACAGTACCTTGAACCTAACAGGTACCCAACAGTGTGTACTCAACAGTGTGTGTTGCACTGAACTCAATGTGGAGCTCCAGTAACAAAATACAGGTAAATTAACTAATTTTCTAGTTGTACTTGGGAAATTCTTAGTCTAAGTTGTACTAGAATCCTGAAAGAGGAATTATATGACTTTGTTAAAAATTTTTTTCTATTTTTATTTGCAAATCCTATTGATTTACCCCAAATGAATATAAAAGATACACACAAATAATTGTTTCACTGCATTACCTCTTTTCCAACCCTTTAAAAGATTTTTAAGATGTTCAACATCAGTAATCATCAGGGAAATGCAAATCAAAACCACAGTGGGATATCTCCTCAAGCCTGTTAGAATGGCCACGATGAAAAAGACAGATAACCAGTGCTCACATGGACGTGGAGAAAAGGGATCACTTGTCTACTGGTGGTGGGATTGTAAACTGGTGCAGCCGCTTATGGAAAACTGCGTGGAGGGTCCTCAAAAAATTAAAAACAGAACTACCATATGATCCCACAATTCGACTTCTGGGTATTTATCTGGAGGAAATGAAAACACAATGTCGAGAGATATCTGCACCCCCACGTTCACAGCAGCCATATTTACAATAGCCAAGACACGGAAATAACCTACGCGTCCATCGATGGATGAATGGATAAAGAATATTACTCAGTATAGTCTTATCATTCTTAAGGTGCCGAGCATCTTAAACTTACACAGAGCTGTATGTCAGGTATATCTCAGTAAAATGGGAAAAATTAATTTAAATAACCCTGGTTACCAACAGAAGCATTTTGGGACTTGAGTATACTAATACTAGATGGAGGCAATTTATTTAAAAGGAAATTATAAGTTGTCCAGTTGAGCAGAAGTGCATGATTTTAAGGAGGGAGTCATGAAATTTAGAAAGGCTGGTTTGGAACAATGATGCAATTTGGTGTAGAAGAGCTGAGTCAGGAGATTGTCTGTCCTCAACCTCCACCTTTGCACGATGTCAGCAGTCCTTGCCATTCTCTCTCTCTTTCCCATTCTCTGAGCAAATAAGAGACCATTGGGGATGACCTTTCTCAATTTACCACCTGCCCTAACAAAGTTTACTGTCATCTGTCCCCACCCACACTTCTTTGCCTGGATCTCCCCCTGGGCTCCCATGAAATTCAACTCCATTAATACCACCCCAGCCTGGGTCTTTTCCTGAACCTCTTCCCTCAGTGACTTCCTCTGTAACCCCTCCCACAACTGCCCTATTGCTGTCATTCCCTGATGAGCCTGAACACTGAGCCCTCTGGATTGCTTCAGGTGCCTATCTCCCAGCCATCTCTCCACCCACAGGTGCCCAGGAAGCAGAAGATGTGACGAGGCTCTCAAGTTGTGTAGGGACTGAAACTTTATAATTGCTTGGGTTTTTACTTTGTTTTGTGTTGTTTTTTTCCTATTCTAGTTCCCTCCTCTATGAATTTCCTGTTTGTACCTCTTCCCCATTTTTCTTATTGATGTGTAGTTCCTTATGTGTTTGGATGACAGGTCTTTGTCAGTTACAGACATTACAAAAATCTTCCTGTCTGTGACTTATTGTTCCTTCTATCCTCCCCCGCTCCTTTCCTTTGCTGGTGGTGTGGTTGTTTTATTAAGCAAAAGTTTTAAATCAAATTTTGTCATTCTTTCCTTCTTGATATACCAGTTAGAGTCTTGAAAGAAAGGATATACTGAAGCTCATGAAATTGTGGGGAGGTTAGTCATGGGATAATTCCTGAAGACTAATCAGGGTTTTGGGAAACCAGCAAAGGATAGAGTAGTTCCTAAGGGTGAGTAACAGCAACCACTCCTAGAAGTGAAGAAAGAAAGTAGAGAACTATTTTTGGACCCTGGAGCAGGGCTGGAAGGAGAGAGATGGCTGATAAGAGCTGTCACGTATTGCACAGGGACACAGACAACATGCTATAGGGGGTTTTAAGGGAACCAGAAGAATTACTAACCCATCCTCAATTTCTTCCTGCCCTTACCTTGTCAGTGACTCTCATCTGGCAGACCCAACTGAAAGCCTGAGGAGATCCTGCTATTTAGGACAACATGGAGGAAACCTGAGGGCATTATGCTAAGTGAAATAAGCCAGACAGAGAAGGACAAATACTGCATGACTTCATTCATAATGGAACCTAAACAAGCCCCCCCAAACCCAAAAAGGGAGACTTGTTATGTACCACATTATGGGGAGCTTTGC